TTTCAGCATTTTGAAATTAATGTGCCCCAGACGTCTATGTAGTAAATGTACCATTCATCATGTGGCTTAACATTGTTATAAACTGAGTTAGCCATCTTCAACTAATCATCATGTATCACATATAAATCATTCTCTAAAGTAGCAGTAACACTTTTACCCTCTTTCTCTATTATACAGTTATCTCCCCTAAAGGTTACTGCATAACCAAGATTAACTAAAGCCCTTACTGATAGCAAATTAAATTTCAATTTAGGTACATATAACATAGTTAAATGTTCATTTATACAAGAACAATATACAGTACCTTCACCAGAAGCTCTCATCTTCCATCCATTTGCCAATGATACATGTTGCTTACTCATGGACATCTTTACAAACCTCTTTCTATCTTTAGTAATGCATTGCGATGCTCCACTATCAACAACCTACAAATCATGGTTTACAGTTGAATTGCTATACATAGCTAAACTAACATTCTTTGTAGCCTTCTTAGCCTAACAGTATTCTGTCGTTTTCCTTTCCTACAGAATCTAGCTATATGTCCCCTAGCTCCACAAGAAAAACATTTCCTAACAGTATAGGCAGTTGAACACAAATCCTCTTCTTGTGGTTGTTCCTTCCTCAGTTGGTCCCTATCCAGCCATCTTCTTGCTTCTTCTAACAACCTTCTGGTTATGTCAGTCAATGTCAGTTTATCTCTGGATAGGACTTCTAGTGAAGATACGTAATCATCATAACTTTCATCCAATGAGGAAAGAATGATGTAAACTTCATGCAGCTCTGAAAATATCAGTTCCTTTTCATGTAGCTCCTGAAAAGTTCTTTTCATGAAGTTTAAATGAGCTAACATATCTCCACCTTTCAGAAGACGTGCTCTAAACAGTTTACATGTAAGATGTATGTGTGCACCTACACTGTCATGAACATAAATCCTCTTCAAATTCTCCCAACACCTGGCAGCAGACTCTTCTCCATAAATATGGACTAGCTGATGGTCACTCAGTGTTAGTCCAATTATACAAAGAGCTTGTTCGTTGATCCATTTAAAGTCAGCAAGCTTCTTGGCATCATCCTCATTTTCTGGATCCCAAGCATTTACATCCGGTGGGTCTTGAACTACATTTCATAAACCTTCTCTACGCAGAAGTAGACTGCATTTCATAGACCAGGAAACATAGTTTGTTCCATCCAACCGGGTTATTAGTGATAGACTTGTTGAAGTGTCTTGTGCCATCTTTACCAGGATAGTAACCTACAATTAAACAGTAAACAGCTGTCTGTATACAGCACTGTGTATTCACACTAACTCTCAGTTAGTGGGAGCCTGGTATGGCCTGGTCCCATAACCAGTGTTGAGGTAATTCCCCGTTAGGAGAATGAGCGCATACAGGGAGACATAGTGAAAGTAGTGAAGACTAACACACAAACGTTCCTAACAATATTTATACCTTCTCTTGGGCTTTGCACTTGAACTTCCTGTTCCTGTGCAAGAACATGTATTCTATTGGCTGCTGTCAGACTCCCATGGGGCTATGCAGGGGTCATAGCTGAGGTTGCCTGAGCTTCCAGGTTTGGTTGTAGCTTGGAGGGTGATGATGTAATGAAGGAGCTTGTGCTCTGAAAGGGTTTTGGGGAAGGGTGGGATTCTACAGGTTCGTACCTATTCGCTAGAACTGGTTGTTACCATTCTAAGCAGTTCGGAGAACCGGTTGTTAGAAGAAATTACTGGCCTAATCCTGTAAGGAAGGCAGGAAGGAAACATTCTGGTGTTGCTTACAGAAACTGCCTCCCCGTTAACCCTTATTACATTCTTGGCAGGACTAGACTTCCTGTCTCAGGAACCTCTCTGGAGTTTTTTCCCTTCCTTTGTTGGTACTTTGCTTGTGTGGAGTGACCATTCAAAGTTACAATGGCACTGAAAAAAGTGACATGACCATTTTTTACACTTATGACTGTTGCAGCATCCCCACAGTCATGAGAAGCCAGGCGAGGAAATGCATGCCTCGATGTGAGTGATATTGAGTTGGTAACACCCAGCCTGTCACATGACCACCAATCCATGCCCACCAACTAAACCATGCCCACAGAACTGGTTGTTAAAATGTTTTAATCCCACTCTTGATGTTGGGCAATTCCTATTGTGTCTTAATGGCTTTGTCCTGGCTTGGATCTTGAGTGAGGGCTAATCCCATCATCCTGAGGCTGAAGGTCTTTTGTTTTGTAGATAGGATGGCCTAATCTTTCTTGATTGACTTGCGGGGCCGGCGCGATGGTGCAATAAGTTCAGATGGTGCAATAGGATTGTGTGTGTGTGTTAGTAGGATTCACCGGGTTAGGGATTTTCTGTCTTCACTGTGAGTTGTATTGCACTGGGCGTGTGTGCACGAAGGGAGGCTGAGCCATTCTCATTGTACACATGTTGTACTCTGACAATAAAGGTTTGAACTTGAACTTAATGGGTACCAAATATCTGTTGGGGGGGCAGGAAGCTGGAGCTCTGAGTTTCTGTCTCCCTCGGGATTTTTATTTCTCTTCTAGGAGAAATATTTTATCCTGCCTTTTTAATATTTCTCAAAATATTTCATTCTTCTGGGAGAGGTGGCTTCCCTCGCCTCTTCATGCAGGATATTTGAAGAGAGACAGAAATGTACAGTAATCAGAAAAAAAAGGGGTACTCAAGAGATGGGGAGAAAGGTGGAGCCAGGCGCTTGTAGGTGGCATGAGGTGCAAAAGACTATTGTTATTGCCAGGAGTTTAGTGACATATTTTTTATTTTTCCTTCATATGAAGAAATATCTATGAAGAAAAATATGAATATTTTTACACACACACAAATATATGAAGAAAAGTGCAGAGAGAAGAGCAACAAGAATTACCAGGGAACTGGAGGCTAAAACATATGAAGAACGGTTACAGGAATTTGGTATGTCTAAATGAAAATAAGGACTAGGGGAGACATGATAGTAGTGTTCCAATATCTAAGACGCTGCCTTAGCCTAAGAGGGGGTAACCTATTCTCCAGAGGCTCTGAAGGCAAGACAAGAAGCAATGGATGGAAACTAACCAAGGAAAGAAACAACCTAGAACTAATTGTCCCGAAGATGCTTTTTCAAGAGGCAACTTGGACTTTCCGATTTTTCTTGGAAGACGTTTCACTTCTCATGCAAGAAGCTTCTTGTATTTATGCAAGGATAAATACGCAAGGATTTATATTCCTTGTAGACAGCTGGTTATTTGTATCCTTTTAGAGAGTTGTTGAGGCCACTTGGAGGTTTATCTGTGTCCTCACGGTCACCTGAGTGGTGTGTGGAGCCTTCTTGGAACTGCTGAAAGGACTGTGCTGTAGATTGGAGATAGATGATGTCATATGCCTACCCCTGGTTGAGAGAGGGCTGTTCAATTTGACATAGATGGCCTCTTTGACCCCTCTTTCAAAGCAGTGGTTCTCTCTGTCCAAAATGTGGACTTTGCTGTCTTCAAAAGAGTGGCCTTTGTCTCTTAAATGCAGATGGACTGCTGAATCTAGTCTTCTGAATCTAGGGTTTGTTCTCTTATGTTGTGCCACACATTTATGAAATGGTGGTTTTGTTTCCCCAATGTACAGATCTGCAGATGTATCAGTGCATTGTACTGCGTATACCATGTTGCTCCATTTGTGTCTGGGATGGAAAAATTATCCTTGGGATGGACAAGCTTCTGTTTTAGTGTATTCCCCAATATTCCTCACCCTGTACAGAGTCTTGGACTTCAAGAGATCTCATTTCAATAAAGAGAGAGCTTGGGAAGGATTTCATGGATGAGAATCTTCAAGGGGAAAACAACCCAAGACGTTTGGAAAACTTTAAAAAGTGAAATTATAAAAGCCCAGTCTAGCACAATACCAATGAAGAAGAAAAATAACAGCTCTCAGAAGAAACCAGCATGGCTGCATAAAGAACTCTCTGATAAATTAAAAGACAAAAAGGAGAAGCATAAAAAGCGGGGCACATAACTAAGGCATGATATCAGCAATTAGCCGGAGTCTGCAAAGATGAAGTGAAGAATGCTAAGCCCCAAATTGAACTAAGGATTGCTACGAAAGTCAAAAATAACAAAGAAAACTTCTTTCAACATGTAAAAAACAAGGAAAAAAAGTCAAGGAAATGACTACTACTGCTGACCCACAGACTTATCTTAATGTCAATGTTGAGGATGACAAAAGAAGTTTTATGAGTTTTTAAATGTAAAGAGCTGTGGTGGTGCAGTGGCTAAAATCCACAAGCGGCTACTTCTGCTGACTGCTGGTTGCCAGCAGTTCAGCAATTTGAATCTCACTGGCATAAGGTTGACTCAGTCTTCTGTCCTTCCGAGATGGGTAAAATGAGGACCCAGATTGTTGGGGTCAAGAGGCTGACTCTAGAAACCGCTTAGAGAGGGCTGTAAAAGCACTATGAAGAGATATATAAGTCTAAGTGCTATTGCTTTCCTTCCTTCCTTCCTTCCTTCCTTCCTTCCTTCCTTCCTTCCTTCCTTCCTTCCTTCCTTCCTTCCTTGGTAGAACGCAGCATTGCAGGCTGACTCTGCCCACTGCCAGCAGTTCAATCCTGACTGGTTCAAATTGACTCAGCCTTCCGTCCTTCTGAAGTGGGTAAAATGAGGACCCAGATTGTTGGGGTCAAGAGGCTAACTTTGTAAACAGCTTAAAGAGGGCTGTAAAGCACTGTGAAACACTATACAAGTCTAAGTACTATTGAGATAAAGGCAAATTTATTAGAAGTTCATAGCAGGCAGGCAGAATAAAGAGCTGCAGAAATTATTTAAAATAAGAGCTCGAACATCCATGCATGATTGCATTCAAAAACAGCCTGGTGCTGATTTTGATAGGTATGTAAGTATGAGATAATATAGAAGGGTGTGGTAGCAAAGACATTAAAACAACAAACATATCTGAAGAAAGAAAATAGTCTTCAGAGAAAAGCGTAGCAAGCACAAGTCCTACAACAGGTGATAGGGCCGGAGAGTGGGAAAGCAGAAGAATGATGAAGCTACTGTTCCTTCTGATCTTTTGGATTCCACGTCAGATTCTTTCCTACCTGAAACAGATCTGGTCACGCAAACGCTACCCGCCAGGGCCGCTTCCACTTCCTGTGATGGGAAGTATGTGGCGGCTGCTTGGGACTGGCATTTCAGAGACGACTTTCAGAAAGGTATGTCTTTTGCATTGTTTCATAAAACAGCTTGATTCTTTTGTTTTGACCCCCCCCCCACCAAACTTTTTGGGGTAGGTGGGCTAAGAAAGAATGATTGGAACAAGTTGCTTGTCGCGCTTCCAAAACTGTGGATCACGTAGGATCTTTCTGCTTCTAATTAAGCATTCTTAACCATTACACCACATGGTTTTTCAACAATAGGGAGAATGAAAATTCCACACAGATCCACTTGAATACTACCGATCACTTAGTGAACCACTTGATCCCTTCTGAAGCCGTACCAGTTCAAGGGGTCCCCTTTAATGCCTTATCCAGGAGCTGTGTTCACACAATGCCCAGAACCTGGTTAACAAATGTACATTTAAACAGTGTGGTAGAACAGACTTTAACATATCAAAACGCAGCAAAAAGCAAACTGGTGCATTACGTTGTATGAATGCATCTATTGTGCTTTAATGAACTAATTTAAGGGAACTTATGTGAACCTGGCAGTTATCACTGTTTTCATAATTTATCGCTCACTAGGTTTTTGTCACAGGTCAATAGGCTTCAAAATTACAGAGAGGCAACAGAACCTACCTGATCTCTAGGTAGCACATCTACAAGTACTCAAAGGCCCAGTACTCACTGTTTACTATACCACTCTTCTCCAATTCTAATACCACTCCTGTTCTTCCTCTACATCTCTTCATGAGTCCTACTTCTGGAGAACAATAACTCTTCTCATGAATGTAGGCAAATATACATGTCCCAGGATAATGTTATAGGAACCAATATGGGTTGGTCATCAGAACCAGAGGGTTAGTCTTCCAAACCTTTGGATTCATGCTGGAGCCCATCCTTGGGGAACTTACCTCACACCAGAATGTGCTCTTTGGGCTATTCTGTATGGTGCTTGGTTATTACGTGGCTTTTTAGTTGTTGACTGGGGATGTTGATGGCCAGCTATTAAGCCATTGACTGTTGTTTCCTGTTGATTTATTTTCCTTTGTCGTTTGTCCCTTCTCTTAAACACCCTTCAGTGCTTTAACAGATCTCTTTTGTAAAGGAATATTATCCAAGTCACTCTTCTGGTTTGTATTTTCATGTCCCTTTTAATAATGAAGATAGCCTTTTTCATTTATAGATCTAGTACTTCATCTTTGTCCAGTTTATTCAAGTAGCTTGTCATTTTTAAATCCACATTCAAATCAGTCTTGGTCTTGTCCAGTAGAACTTGTTCTCTTCCATAACATGATTAACTCTACGATAGCAAACATTATTAAAATTAACTTCTGAGTCCATTGTTCACAGATATCCTTTCTTTTTGTTATTTTTAGTTCTTATTTGCTTTTATATTTTTAATTGTAATGTTTAATACAATTATATTTAATTTTTATTAACTTAAATGTATGTATTTAACAATAGTAATACACACACACACACACATTTTAGAAGTTCTACTCCTGCCTTTGTGGCTGGGATGGGATTAAAAAATCCTAGCAACCGGTTCGCTACCTAGTTGCTGGGTGGGTGTGGCCATGGTGAATGTGGCCTATCAGAACTTCTGGGTGGGCCATTTTTCATCCTCCCAAGGATCTGGAAACTTCCCTTGGGCCCCTGGGAGGGTGAAAACGGCCTCCCCGGGCTCTGGAGGCCCAAGGAAAGCCGGAAATAGGCCTGTTTCAGGACTTCTGGAAGGCCCATTTTCTCCCTCTCCCAGAGCCTCCGCGCAGACCCTGCACTTACCCTGCATCGAAAATTGACCACATGGAGACTCCTGGGAGGGGCAGGGTGGGGTGAGCAAGGCCAGCTGATCTGTTCGAATACCGGTTCAGTGAACCAGATGCAAATTTAACATCTGGTTCGCCTGAACCAGTCCGAACCACTAGAATATCACCCATGCTTTGCAGTCTGTGAAATTAACCCTTTAGGGGGCTAATCCTTTAAATGTGAAATTACTAAGAGATACCTGAACAATAAGAAAGAGCTTTATTAAGCTTTTGCAAAAGGGACCTCTGTGCTCATATAGGTGGAGCCACAGAGGACATCTTTCCGTAGGAATACATGATGTTTAAATAAAGTTTCAAACCTATGGCCTTGGTCACTGCCCCTCAATTCTATTGGCTGCTTTTCTGGGTGGACCCCGTCCCCTTCCCAGAAACTCCGACCCATCTGTTTATTCATTTCCAGTAACCCCCATCCCCTTGGCACATCCAATTATTGTCCACATTATTAATTTTAGTATAACATCTGTTTTCTTGACCTGCCAACTATTTTCCTTTGACCTGCAAACTTAGTTGTTGACCTGCCAACTAATGTCCTAAGTATGCTAAGATTTGTAGAGCCTTGTTATTGTCTTACAGTGAACATTCTTACACAATTCCTTACATATTTCCCCATCAGGGATTCTTAGGTTATACAAAGGCTAATATGGCATTACTATTGCTCTGTCTTTTACAGGAATAATTCTTATTTCTCACACAGTCCTAGAAAGGAGATAATGGCAAACCACTTCTGTAAAACCTTTCCAAGGCACTTGTGTAGGCAGTTTCAGAAAACCAGACATAACTGAACAGAAGATTTTTTAAAAATTCCAGATAGCTTGTAAGAGAAGATTATAAAAGAACAGTCTCCTGTCATACTTCCTATTTATGCATAAATAAAAGGCTCTGTGTTGATCTCTTTGGGAGCACAGAGAAAACAAATAGTTGAGGGAGCAACTCCAATTTCTGTGTCTTTCTTCTCTTTATCGCGCAATCTGGATTACAGTATAATATGTCCCAGCTGCCTTTTAAGATGATCCTCAGACTATTAGTGGTTTTGTATAATCTAAATCTACACAATCTAAAACCACCTCTATCTATTGGAACGGATGGAATATGTGCCTACTTCTTAAAAAAGCTATCCACTGCCATAGCCAAACCTCTAAACTAATATTTGAAAAATCTTTCAGGACCAGCTCCTTGCCAAACCTATGGTCACAAGCCACGGTCATCCCCTTCTTCAAAAAGGGAGACCCCAGCCTAGTTGAAAATTACAGACCAATCTCTTTATGCTGCATCACCTGTAAAGTCATGGAATCAATTATTAACCAACCCATTATCCTTCTCTTAGAGACAAACAACCTACTCTCTAATAAACAATTTGGTTTCAGAAAAAAACTACCCTGTAATCTGCAACTCTTACACTGCAAAAACATATGGATTACACAACTCTATCAGGGCAAAGCAATAGACGCAATTTACATAGACTTCTGCAAAGCCTTTGATTCAGTGGTACATGACAAACTACTCCTAAAACTAAAATCTTTTTTTTTTGAAAACTTTTATTGATTTTTAAAAACAAACATAAACAAACAAAACATAAAACATAGAAACATAAAACATCTTTTTTGAAAGCAGCCTGATCCCGGGTTACATCTCTTCGTACAGACACAAATTCAAGTTCATGCTCATTTTTATATTCCATTCCATATCTTATTACCATTCTACATTTTCTATATAAATTCTCCCCTCTTTCAACTTTTTAAATTTAATTTTATTTATTTAATCTCAATTCAAATCATCATACTTATATTCTTTGTCTGTCCTGTTTCAGCTGTCTATTATCTTTTCTCATTAAGGAAAATTTCTCCTGTGATCACTGATTGGAGTATGACGCTTTTATATATTTCCCCTAAAATTATAACACTTAATATAATACATAACTTTGGATTCTGCTTGGTACATTCTAAAACTACACAATGTATTTAAAAAAAAATTATAAATATATAGCATAATTAAAACAACAATCCATACCAATTCAATTCTATCATTAATATTAATATTCATTTAAATCTTAAACATTTTACACATTACTTTTCAAATAAGTATCATACTTCTATGGGAACAGTTATAAACTTTCCATAATTACTTCCCCCCCACTTCACTTATATTTTATAACATTGAGTAGTTAAAATGTTCCCATTCCTTCCTAGTTCAATTCTCTCATTTATTTCATTTCATTTATTTTGTTCACAAAAGTTTCACTAAATTACACTGACTATTTTATTCCATTTTTTAATCATATGTTGTTTCCAATTTTCTAACATTATTTCTATTACAAATACAACAATACAATCTTATGTACCTTTACAGAATCCCTTTTTCTGTTAAATTTTCACCCATTATCTCTGAATAGGTCCTGTTTCTTTATATCTTGCTCCAGACCTTTGTAACTTCTCTTCCCTTCCTTCTTCCCTTTCTTCTTCTCTCTCCCCTTTTTACCCCCCTGCCTCTCCACCTCCATTATCCTCTTCTGTATTCCCCTTTTCTGTTGCTTTCCAACATTATATCCACTTTTCACATTATTTTTCCCTTTTTTGGCTGTTTTTTTTTTATCTTAAATTCTCAATTCTCTTTCCCCCTTTTCTTCCCCAGATAGAGTTACTTGTTCATTAAAAATGGCTTCTTCTTTGTCCCAATCTTCTTGTTGCGCAGTCTTTTCTTGTTGTTTCTTGTAGACACCAATCGCCATTTCTAAGAATTGAAAAATGGAGCCAAAGGAGCCCTTCCCTTCTTGTTCCTCTTCTTTATATTTTTTAAATTCCATTTTCAGTTCATCCAGAAGTGATGCCATTGTAGAATTTTATTTTTTTTAAACAACCACCCAATTGTTTTTAGTCATTCAAATACAATTTCCAAAAATCCCAAAGTCATCAAACAATCCAAATACACACAAGCTGTTTCTTTTGACACTTTCTTCTTTTTTCACTTTCTCTTCTTGGGGTTACTATTTAGTTGCAAAGTTCCAGTTAAAATGTATCTTTTAGAAATCTTGTTAAGATTTAACTTTAAATTCTTTTGAATTCCAAGCAGTCTCCTCCTTCCAAGTCCTGCTCTTATTCTTTTCCTCTCCCTTCCCACATAGAAAAAAAAAGAGGATTTTTTAGTATTCAGAAATCTTTATTGTCCCTTTGGCATTTAATTATATTTCCAGTTTAATTACCTCTTGGTGCCAAAGCGGATTTTTCTGAT